GAAGCCCTCCTCTATTGTGGAGCCCTGCCCATATACAGGACCCCATAGGGGAAGCCTGGCCCCATAGAGGAGCCCCTGTTTCAGAGGAGACCCTGTACTGGAGTCCCTGTCCCCCACCCTGCAGGGAGGTCCCAGGGCCGTGTCCATGCTCCAGACACTCACTGAGCCCCTTGCCCAGCCTGCCTGTCCCCAAAGTCCATGGGGAGACAGAGTAATCCCCTGCCAGGCGATGGATGGCTCTGCCCCATCTCCTGATGCTCTCTGGATTCCCACAGGGGCTCCTGCAGCCTCCCTCCAGTTTGCAGCACCCCTCATCACCAGAGGCTGTCTCTGAAAACACCCCTGTCCCAGCTGCCGCCAAGCCGACCACCTCCAGGCCTCTCTCCAAGGGCTCTGGGGCCTTTTTATCACGTTTTCTGTGTCTGCAATTGGGATTTTTGGTTTAAAATCCCCCTCTGAAGCAGCTCAGCCCCACGTCACCTGTCACAAAGCCACTTTCCGGGCTCGCTCAGACATCCAGGACCTCTGCCGCCGGTTCCGTGGGACAAACGGCACGAGACAGGTGCTGCTGCTATTGTGCACTTTATTTCTCTGGGCCTCCTCTCCCTGAGGATCCCCCGGTTTGGACAGTCTGCACATTGTTTCCAGGTACAGGTGGTGACGCTGGTGGCAGATGGAATGACCTCAGGGACAGACGGACGCCCATGCGGGACTAGAAGCAGAACTCCAACCGACTCTGATCGAACTCGAGTCGCCTCCGTGGGATGGCCGTGAGGGGGATTGCGTGGGGATGTGCCTTCCCTGTTCCCTCCAGGGCTATTAGAGATAAACCACTCGGCAGTTGAACACAAGCCGATGTCCCGTCGAGGGCTGAAATACCGGTTCCCTTTACCTGCAGCACCGCACTCACAGGACCTCAGCTCTGCACGGAGAAAGGAGGAAAAACAGACAGGAAAAAGCCCCAAACGGAGCGGGGAAAAGCAGGAATTAAATCAGGAGTGAGGATCTGGCTGAGCACAGCTCCCAGGGCCAGGGAGGCCCCTCGGTGGGAGGTTTGGCAGCACCTCCTCAGCCCCGTGGAGACCAACCAAGAGTGACCGAGACAGAGGCAGGAGACGCCTCGGCACGTACACACACACACACACACACACACAGGCTGCGACACGGTGGGTGAAACATTGACATTTATATTGAAATATGCACTAACAGTGAGTTCTACCAGCCGATGCATTTTTGCCAAAGCAGAATCACAATGGTTGTGTCCCGGGGGAGGCTCGGGGCGGTGGGTGGGCAGCGAGGGGAGGGACAGGCCTTCCTCCTCCTCATGGCTCCCATCCTGCCTCGTCCTCCCGCCCCGCACCTCACAAGACTCTGTCATTTCACATCTTCTGTTTGTTTGTTTTCCTCTCTGCTGCAATAAACACCAAACTGGGAATGCTCACTTAGAGAAGCCCTTAGCTCCAGCATAGGCCCCTCTCGAGGGACATCCAGAGCTGGAATTGAAGCTTTCCCACACGAGGCACTCGGTTTTCAGCACTAGGTGAGCAAGGAGGCAGAACCCTCTTGCTCATAATACCTCTCAGATGAGCAGGGCAGTTTCCTGCCAGGCAGAGCCAAGTTTGAGTGGAGAAGACGCCGTCCTCCCTCTCCAGCACCAGGGACGGAGCAGAGCCGTGAGCACTGAACCAGCACAGAGCGTGGCACCTCAGCAAGCCAAGCCAAAGCAGAGCCAGCAGAGCCTCCCTGGTGACACTCCAGAGCCTCCGGAGCCTGCCAAACCTCCCGGTCCACTCGGCACCCTGCCAAAGGGGCTGACTCACAGCGGGCACAGGGTGCCGAGCGGAGAAGCCGGAGCTTTACTGGAGTACATTCCTGGTTAGCATCTCTTCAGCCAAATGCAGCAGCAGCAGCGGGAAGGGAAGCAGGGATGCACAGATTAATTAGCACACACTTGCCTTTTCTCACAAGCCTGGAGAGATGGAAAGCTCTCAGGGAGTAGAATGAGTTCTATCCTGGCTCCCTGAGGGGGCTGGGGGTGGGATAAGCCCTTCCCCGGGAACTCTCCACTGCAGTGTACTTTTAACATCTGATTTTCCACTTGCCCTTCCCCAATTTCTCCAGCCAGCACCTTACGGGAAGGTGAGCAGCGTTCCCTCAAAGCCTGCCCTGCAAGGCCACGAGTGCAAAGCCAGCCTCAGGGAGCAGCATCCCTGGTCTGGATCATGGGGGCAGGATGTGATCCCTCCTCTCCCGTGGCACTCCGCAACTCCCTGCGTCTGATCCTGGCAAGGGGAACACTTCACCTTTCCTTCATCTGTGTGTAGATCACATATACTGGAAACAAAACACACACTATGCATGCAATCCAGGCAGGAATCCTGCTATGATCAAATCTACAGGAGGAGGGGGATGAGGTGGGACGTTACGGGATTCCTCAATGCTAGGTCAGAGTTACACACCAGCCCCTTGGCTACAGCAAAGGGCAGACAGACTATGTACAGTACCTATGGGCTTCAGCAAGGACCTGACACCTGAGCACCTCCCTTGGCACACAGAGGGAAGCTCTCTGTTCCTCCCAGATTTACCTGCACGTGGATCCCACGGGAAGCACAAACACAGCGAGGCCTGTGTGGCACCACTGAGCTCCAGCTCCAGCAGGTAAGCCAGGGAGGAAGAGACTTGGTTTAAAATAGTTATCAATTTGCAAGTTATCAATTCATCCAGGGCCCTGCTTCTTGGGTCCAAACTGTTTCTTTCTGAAAGAGAACCTCTCAGTTTTAAATGAAAGGCTGTCTCACTAAAACAAGCCCTAACTACAAACCAAACCAAAGTCCCACCTAGCCACAGCCCCTTAGGGGGGCACCTGCCCCTCCAGCTCCCTTGCTAGAGGTGAGGAGCAGTGTCTAGGGCAGGGAAAGCTACGCCTTAACTTCACTTTTTACTGTAAGAGGCTGTAGTTGCTCAAATAAAATGTTTATACAAGTAAACCAGTAGCAATAAAGAAATATACACCTTGGGATCTGTAAAGCTTCAGTGTGATTTGGGCCTTGCAGCCAGGGGCTGTTCGTGTGGGTTTGCTTTAGAAAAAAAAAGGATGTAACAGTCATACTTGATTAAAAAAAAAAGAAAAAAAGGAACAAGGAACAGCACTGCAAAGAGCCCTGTGGTGCAGGGACCTCAGAGGGATGTCTGTCAGTTCCAGGGAGCAAGGAAGTGACTGCCAGATTATTGGATCATTAAAATCCTACACTGAGCAACTGCCAAAAGCCAGCGACCCCACAGGCAGCAGGAGCAGGGCAGAGCAGCAGCACCAGAACGGGAGTGTTCCCAGGAGAGCTGCGTGGGAGGGAAGGAAGGTGCCCCGGGAGAGCTGCGTGGGAGGGAAGATGCCCTGGCTAGCAGGCATGGGGAGACAAGCACGAGACAAGCACCTGGGAGTGTTGCACGAGCTCAGGTAACCGTTTGCTTCTTTAAATTTCTGAATTCCAGTTTCATGCTGCTTCAGAAAGGAGTGAGAAAACAACACGTTTCATTTAAACCCCCCAGTAAAAAAAAACAAACAACAAACAAAAAAAAAAAAAAAAAAAAAAAAAAAAAAACCCCCCCAAACCTCTAAAAGGTGGGACCGAGTTTGGAAAAATGCATCTGTTCTGGCTTTTGCAAGTGGAATGTGATTCTTGTTCCCAGGCAAATACACAGAGCACGATGGCTGCAGCCAGGAATGGTGAGCCAGGCGTGGTGTCGGACAGGCTACAAGGGGTTCTAGGACAACCACAGAGCAACAAGACATGAGAGGGGCACAGAGTGACAGTCCTGTTCTCGTTTTAAATGAGGAATGGTTTAAAAGTAAAACTCTTCTTCAGCTAATTTCCTCCTGCAATAAAACCAACCAAGCCGGCCCTCGTATGTACAAGACCAGTTAAACACGAG